TAATGGATTTATTTGAGGAAACTGATGAGCTATTTTCACATTCTAGGAACATTGATTGATGGGGAGCCGATAATTACATTGCCTCCAAAAACAATATGCTTGGCTAAGGTGGATTTCTCAAATGAAGAGAGGGATTTCTACACCCAACTAGAGCACAATTCACGCGTACAATTCAAGGTGAGGAACGGACCTTCTTAAATTTTCTCACTAGCATTTTAGTTTTTTGTTATTAAACTAGCAATACTGGTATCGTTCAGAGTCATTTAAAAGAGCTTTTTCTAGTCATATTTTGTGCTGCCACTGGGACTATTTGGAAGATGATCTCTGTTTATATCATTTTGGATATGATTCTGCCACTTTAGTTAGATATTGTGGTATCAACTGCTAACATTCCCCCCCCCCCCCAAAAAAAAAACAAAAAGAAAAAAGACACCCAAAAAAAAAGAAACAAACCAAGGATGCTAGCAAGGTGTTGATCATTGTGTTATTGCTTTTAATTGTGATGTTATTGATCAAAATTTTGCATTTTGGAAATGTTGCATACTTGCAGTCCATATTTACACTGTAATATTGCAAATTGTGTCTCCATAGTTTATGCTGTCGTATTTTGATTAATTTAGGTGGTCCCTCTTTCTTATGTTGGGCTATATGTGCTCCTAATTGTCTAGTTCTATATTGCAGGCATATGCTGCTGCTGGCACTGTGAAACAGAACTATGCAAATATTCTTCTGATGCTTTTGCGCCTGCGACAGGCTTGTGACCATCCACTGCTTGTCAAAGGATACAATTCTGATTCTGTTGGAAACTTTTCTGTGCAAGCGGCAAAAAAATTACCTCGAAATAGGCTTAATCATCTCCTGGATCTCCTGGAGACATCCTTGTCCACATGTACTGCCTGTAATGTACGTGTTTTTTATAAGTGTTTAGATGTGTTTGTGACCATGTGTGCATGCACACCTGTGCTCATCACTTTGTCTGCACTCCAGAATGCAGTTTTACTAATCAGTGTTAATTTTTGCAGCCATATTTGTTTTTGCTTGTGTGTCTGCAAATCCGAAGAAATCAATTAACATCTCAACTACGAATATGTCATCTATCGCATTTGATTGACAGTTTGGAATCTGTATTCCTGCATCGATTTATTGTACTCTATCTAATGGTTTTAGGTTTATGTATTTTTCAGGATACACCGGACCACCCCGTTGTTACTATCTGTGGCCATGTTTTCTGTTATCAGTGTGTGTCTGAATATCTGACTGGTGACGACAATACATGTCCTGCACATAGATGTAAAGAACCACTCGGTCCAGCAGATGTTTTCTCTGAAGCTATTCTCAGGAGTTGCATCTTCGGTAACTTTGAAAATGGTTCAACGAGTTCACAGCGAGCTGACAAATCATTGATCATGCAGCATGAGTTTAGTTCAGCTAAAATCAAAGCTCTTCTTGAGATTTTACAGTCGCAATGCAGAGGTGAAAGTACAGATGCAGAGCTTCATGGTCCCATTGATTGTGATGATTATGAAAATACAGCCGCCGGGGATTCTACATACAGAGTTAAAGCTGTGAAGCACACAACTGTTTATTCGAGTTCTCCTCCCGAAGGACCATTTAAAGCAATTGTCTTTTCTCAGTGGACGAGTATGTTAAACTTGGTTGAACAAAATCTGAACCAGTTTTGCATACAATATAGACGACTTGATGGAACAATGACCCTTTCTGCAAGAGACAAAGCTGTGAAGGAATTTAACACTGATCCTGAGGTTTGGCTGCTATAGTTGGAGAACATTTCAATCATCTCTCAGTGCCTGTCAGTTTTGCTTTGGATACGCATATTCTCACAGAACTGCACTAGACGAAAGGCCCCTGCATAATTATCGTAATTAGTGGAATATGCTGTTAATGTGTGTAGTTGGAGCTTGAAGCTGCTAAGCGAGAAATTTTGTGTCACCTGTTTTGTTTTCACAAGAGAACCACGTTGTGTCTTCCCCTAAATTTTTTTGAGCTTGACACCTGAATCTTTGAAATTTTTTGCAGATAGTCGTTATGCTAATGTCATTAAAAGCAGGAAACCTTGGTCTAAACATGGTTGCTGCTTGTCATGTTATTCTTTTGGATCTTTGGTGGAATCCAACTACTGAAGATCAAGCTATTGATCGAGCTCATAGAATTGGACAAACTCGACCAGTTACTGTATCTCGAATCACAATTAAGGATACGGTGGAAGATAGGATTTTGGCTCTGCAGGTACTGCTTGGTCTTTCTCTTTTGGGCCTCCTCTAAGCTCTGTTAGGCTTGAGTCTCTGACATTTTTGCAGGTTCTTTTGCGGTTTCATTTCCCGTTCTTTAATTTATAGTAGCATCAATTCAGTGATTATTTATTTTCTCCAGACAAGGAACCTAACTATCGTCAGTGCAGTCACCGTCTGTTTTCTCTATTTGAGGAAAGTAATAATTTTCATCAATCAGATGCAATAAAATATTTGATGGTCAGTTCATTGCCGTGAAGTCTACTATTCTCCCCCTCAATCGTTAATCAAATATGCGTTCTGGTCATTTTAATTAGCCATCGCTAGAATCATATTGTTATGTGACGAGAGAGCAATGCACACCTTATCACTATGGTTAAGCAAAGGAACATATGCGTAGTAATAGATGCTTTAAGAGGCCTTAGTTTGTTCATCATTTGGCACATTTTGTTCTACTGGCCTTAATATCCGCCTTGATGATAGGATATTAACTCGTTAACATGCTTCATTTTGCTTGTTGTCATTTGCAGGAAGAAAAGAGAAAGATGGTGGCATCTGCTTTTGGTGAAGACCAAGGAGGTGGTGCTGCAACTCGTCTAACAGTTGAAGATCTCAAATACCTCTTTATGTTATAGATTTGTTCTCATCACATTTTTTGGCTCGAGTAAGTCTTCTCATTCCGAAAACTTCTGGGGAAGGGCAAGGGAGTGATTTAAGTTTTCATTAGTCAGAGGAGGGAGGAATTTTTGAGTATCTGCTGGCGCGCATATTACCCCCTGCCGCCGCTGGTGTTTTGACAAGAACATCGGCAGTAAACTCTAGATTGCCCGTGCCTGAATTTTAGCTTGACAGAAGGGATTTTTGTTGGCGGTGGATGCAGCAACCAGGCTAACATGTAAATATTATATTGTAGATTAAACTAGATTAGCATAGAATTAGACCCTTTCATAGCTTATGATATGATTATTTTGTCTCTGTATATTCTCTCTCAGCAAACCTCTGAGGTTCATGTTGCCCATCTTTGATGGGATCTTCGCTCTTGTTGGCTGCTCGTGTTGGCATTTGTGATGCATTAAGTTCAGGATCTAATCTCTATTGATTCTCCTTTCCAACCACGAATATCTGGCGTACCATGTTGAATCTAGTGAGTGGGAGGGAGAAATGAGGGACACGGGTAGAGAGACATCCCTTGCTTGTGCCTTGCTCTTTTTATTTTTTAACTGCTGATGACAAGGGTGCCCAAGTTTATTAAGTGCATCCCATACAATTTATAAGCTGGGCATACATTGATGTGCAAAATTCTGTTCTTATGTCATTTTTTTCTTCGCTTGACAAATCTAAGATTGAATGGATGAAAACATTCCTAAGAAAATTACTCTGGCTTAAACTTGTTTTCTCATGTGGCTAGTTGAGGAGATGAGGCAGAACTCTTCAACTAGTCAATCAGCAGACGTAAAAGCCACAAAATATGACTACTTAAAACTAAGAGGTCCCCTTTTCTTCTAAAGAAAAAGTCCTCTTAATGGCTCACTTGGATTATAAAGGCACTTTTTGGAAGAGGGCGAGACGGTTTCAAATTGAATGGTTGTGTTCCGTGCACAACCGTTCAAAACTTGAGCACAAGTCAACAAAAATCGGGACCTTAATATGTCAAAACATATTATGAATGGTACTAAAGTATGGCGAACATATTTTGTTCCCATTTGACTATATTGGTCTTGTGAGTTGGCTAGTAAGGAAAATGTCTCTTGAGCCAGTTGTGATTGTCTCCTTGTCTTGCCTCAGGAAGGGTGAAAAAGTGACCTAAAAAATTGGGCTAGTCACAATAGTCCAGCAAGGGGATCCAGAAAATATTAAAATAATGGAAAAGAATTGACACTGTGCCGTACCAAGATAATTGAGGGTGGGAAATGATCTTGACGAATATCCAAGGTGATCCTAATTTCTGAGCAAATCCCAACATTTTGCTTTATTTGATTCCCTTCCTTTCACCAGTTTCACCTCCAGATTTTCCGACTTTTGTGGGCCTCTAAAGTTGTTGCTCGACAGCACAAGGATTGGAGGATTCAAATTGACACCACAGTAATGACATTACCCTCTATAATTGTTTTTTCAACCTCATTTCAGAGAGAGAGAGAGAGAGAGAGAGAGAGAATGAGAGATGGGGTATGAAAGACTCAGATGTTAATGATGTTTTTCTTTTTTTCCCTGTTCTTTCTTCTCTCTAATCTTCCCTAAAACAAAAAGGGTAAAAGTACTCTTAATGTCAATCTAGGGGGAAAAAGGAAAAGCAAATGACTTTGCAAAAGTGATCGCTTGAATACACTCCCAACTTAAGGTTACGCCAAGGGCAGACCAGAAACCCTATTGGTGGCCTCACATGTCCACCGTGGTGGTGGCTCCCTTCCCTCATCATTCGAACTCTGCAGCCTTCACTCTGAGAGAGAGAGAGAGAGAGAGAGAGAGGAATCTGTCTACATGGATGACAGGAAAAAGGGAAAGCTAATGCAATTCACAGTGTGTCAGGGTCATGTCCACACACTAACAGCAGTGGTGAGACTGAACCATTTCTACTATGCATTTTAAGTAAAAGGGGCCTCTTGGATCCTCGAAGGTTGCCCCAAAAGAAGTTTGCTCTAATACCCATGTAAACGACCTTTTGATGCGGTTCCTTTGACTGCCTGCAGATTTTCTCTTGGTGCTAACTGGCTCTCACTCTCTCTCTCTCTCTCTCTCTGATGAAAGCAAAGAAAGGGAAAAGACAGGATTTTTATACTCTAGTGAAGTGGGAGTTAAAATTTGCTTTTACACTATCGATCTCTAACTCACCCCACCTCTCTAGTCTCATACCAATGCATAAACACCCCATAATCAGACATTAATACATCACTTCTCATCTATGTACTACACTCTACGAATAATATATATGGTAAGACTAAGACTAGCAAAATTCACCCATGAGTTCTTTACATATTTACTTAACAAACGTTGGGACCAAAACCAACGAATCCATTGGCTCCATCAAAAGAGACTTGTATGCCTTCTTGCTGTATGTTCCCAATGATGGAAAGTGCTGAGGAAGACGGCGCGAACGCGAAACAGAATGTGCCCGCGTCGTCGACCGGGATCAGGAAGTTCCTCGCCGGGAGCGTCAGGATCGGCCCGCCCGAGAAATAGAACGAGATGGTCGGGACCCGCACCGTCACGAAACCATACAGGTTGTAGCAGGTGTCGAAGATAGACACCCCCGTGGCTCGTGGGAGGTTCGTCGTCTGAGCGAGAAAAGCGTCGCGAAACGCCACATAAGCGGGCAACGGGAACCGGGTCACGGCGGTGCCTGTGTCCATGACGACTCCTCCGTTGCCCAATTCATTGAGGCCAAAAGTGTCCTCCGATATGGGCACCCGGATGCCACCAACACCGAGGCCCGCTAGACCGATGTAATAAAAACTCGGCGCCCGCGGGTTACGGATCAGGGGGACCCAGACGGCTCCGACAGGCACGGCCCCGCGCCCGAACTCCAATGACCCGGACGCATCGGTGCCCCGACTAACGAGGCAATAGCTGAAGGCCCCACCAGTCTGCCCGCCCAGCTGGCCCACGAAGGACATGGAACCGCCCCCTAGGCCTAGCAGGCCCGCGGCGCCGATGAACATGCCCCGGTTCATGTGCCCGCACCCGATTGCCACGCTGTTGACCACGGTCCGCCCGAAGGTGAGGGTCTCCAATGCCATGGTGCCCTTGGTGTAGGACCCGTCGCCGTAGGACACCTCGTAGTGGCACCGGCCAGAGCGGCAGCCCGCGTTCTCGAGCCGGTCGCAGACCGTGGAGCTGCACGACACCCCGGAGAACGATGCGGACCCGGATGGGTCGAAGACTGGGTCGGACTGGCGGTAGCACTGGCTGCAAGGCTGACACTGCACCCACACAATGTCACTGCCGGAGTCAATCACCATGTATTGGCTCCTTGCCGGGCTTCCAACTCCTATCCTCACAAAGTACTCACCACTCCCTTGATCCATGCCCGAGACAACGTCGGACCCGAAATCCTCCACCACGTCATAGGCGGCCCCACCGGCCTTGCCGCCGTACAGTCGACGGAAGAGCCCGGCGACCCGTTTGGCGTCCCGCTTCATCCGATCGTGGAAACGGCGGGCATGAGAGTCGCCATGGGAGCTGGTGGAAGGTAATTTGTCTCTGTGAACTAGCTTCAGCTTGTACTCGCCTTCGTGCTCGCTCTCGCTCTCGCTCACATCATGTTTGTTGAAGAAGTCGTGGTACTCGTTTATCTTGGGAGGGAGGGCTTTTGTGGCCGCGACGGCTTCTTCCACGTCCAAGCGCTGGAAGTCCGGGTATGATGTGGTGGCGGCGGCGGCGGCGGCGGCACTCAGAAGCTGAAGCACCACAAGGAGGACCAAGAACGCTCGCAACACACTTGTTCTCTGCATCCTTTTGGTTTTGGTCGATAAAGGAGGAAGAGCTGGAGAGGTTTTTCAAGACAAGCACTCTTTTGGTGAGTCCTCTGAGGAAGAAAATGAGGTGAGGTAAGGGGATTTATTCGGTTTGGGTTTAGGGAGGTTGATTGAAGGGACGACAAAGTTTGTGGGGTTTTGAAATAATTGAGGTGATGGGGTTCTTCTGTTTCTGCTGTTTGGCCTCTTGTTCTTGGAGTGATTCAAGAAAATGATAGGAGGGAGGTGTCCCTTGTGGTGGTAGCTCGACTTTTGTAATTTCCGCTCTCTTTTTACTTTTCAATACATTTTATTTTATTTTATTTCTTCTCCTTCTTTTGAAGAGCTGTGATGTGATGTGATTACCAATTTGCACAGACCGTGCAAATCTTTGACCAGCTGCTGCTATATATGAACACCCACATTGTTATTTTTTTCTTTATTTTTCTAAGAAGAATAAAATACTCGTGCTTTGTCTAAGATGTGCATTGCAATTTGCACACGCTATGCATCCACAGCTAGACATAGAAACTCCCCAAGTTCAATGTGATCTTTTCCTCTGCTAAATCTAGGGCTTTTCTTTTCTTTCTTGAGTATTATATTTGATGCTGCAGCATGAAAAGTGACCCTATTTGTCCCTTTGAGTATGAAAATAGGTGAGACGATGAGCAAGAAAATCGATCCTTGAAAGAAAAGGATCGTTCATCTAATTGTGTTGACACTATTATATGGTAAATTTTCACTTTTGGGTCTTCTTTTCTTGACGTGAGAAATCATCACATGGACATAACAGAGCCATTGGGGAACACGAGAAAGCCAAAAGGATCCGATGGAGAAACCCTAATCAACGAGCCATGAATTAGCAACATGAGCCCTTTATTTTCATTGACCGAAGTGTAATTATACTAATTATGTTCCACGCTTGTAATTATGATGGTTTTTCTTTCTCTTGGTGAGAAATGCTGCACTTTCTCTTGCTGTGGGAACGCTTTGTTTGGAAAGCAAAGAGGGGATGATGATGATGATAGCAAAAGCAAGGTCAAAACAGAGATTGATATGAAATAAGGTTTCTGCAAATCATTTCATGAGCTTCCACCAACAGCAATAGAAGAGGTGAGAAGAGCATATACATTTCTTCTTCTGCCCTTGTTCTAAGAAAAGTCAAGTGATATTTGTGTGAGAATGAGCTGTAAAATATATTTATGATTGTAATTAGCTAGAATCAAGGATTATAGTTAGCTAGTTTAGAGGATATATTTTTTAAGATTCTTTCTTTTCTTTGTATATATATACGCCTCTAGGTCATTATAAACTAATGAAGAAGAAATACAGAAAAGTGAGGAATGTGGTTTTCTTCCTCGAAATATCTTTGCGTTAACATGGTATCAGAGCCAAGGGTTTGCTCTTTGTGAGTATTGTACGTGAATCCTCGATTACGGCGGTCCCGCTTTCTCTATTGCGCCGTTCGGCATGCGTCCTACTCGATCTTCTTCATCTTTGTCACGATTGATTTTGGATCCATGGAGGATCAGAACCCTACCGGAGCGGTGATTCCCCATCAGAACCAAGGGGGGAATTCGACTACGGAAGCTTTTTTGGAGAATCTGACTGCCAGATTAACTCAGATTCTCACTCAGAACCAGACGCACCCTCCTCCTCCATCACCAACACCGCATAATGATTCGGCTTCATCTCAGATTGCAATTAAATTGGATGGAGCCAACTATGGATTATGGTCTCAGGTTGCCGAGATGTACATCACTGGTAAAGACAAACTGGGATATATCAATGGAGCCCTTCCTCAGCCACTGCCTACAGATCCTGGCTTTCGGAGGTGGAAAACAGAAGACTCGACTGTGAAAGGATGGCTTATCAACTCCATGGATTCGGCGTTGATCGGCAACTTCATTCGCTTCCCAACAGCGAAATCTGTCTGGGATGCGGTTGCAACGACTTTCTTAGACGGAACGGATTCCTCTCAGGTTTATGAATTGAAGAGGCGTGTTGCTCGGATGCGACAAGGAGGAGGACCAATTGAGGCGTACTACAACAACCTTCAAGGCTTGTGGAGAGAAATCGACTTTCGCCGTCCGAACCCAATGCGGTATCTTGAAGATATTGAAAGATACAATATGGCTATACAGGAAGATCGGGTATACATATTTCTTGATGGGTTGGACGACCGTCTTGACAAGGTCAGAGCAGATGTTTTGCAGATGCAGCCATTTCCTACTGTTAAAGAAGCCTATGCGCGTGTCCGTCGAGAAGACATGAGACAAACTGTAATGCTGATCAACAGTGACACAGTACATGATTCGGCAGCCATGGTATCTCGGGGGAATAGGACGAATGTCAAAGCATACCAAGAACCGCTGTTGCAAATAGCGAAGCCAGGAGTTACGCAGGAAGGGGGAAAGCCTAGCTCGGCACTACGCCAGAAAATTTATCCGGGGGGAGGTTGCTCGAATTGTGGTAATTCTAAGCATACCAGGGAGACGTGCTTTAAGCTTCATGGGTATCCAGATTGGTGGAAAGAGTTGAAAGCTCGAAAGCAAGCAGAAGGAAAAGGGAAAGCTTCTTTAGCGACTGCTGAGCCTTAGCTATCACTGATACCTCACGTTGATCCTCATAATTTGATGTCAGGAGGTAACCATGGAAGTACTTTGGTTAGTTCTAATCAGATTGATTGCAATCACTGGGTTATTGATTCGGGAGCTACTGATCACATGACATTTACTCCTGATGACTTTGTTCATACTTCAGAACCAAGACGTGACAGTATCTCAAATGCTAATGGATACACCTATCCTGTGACTGGGGCTGGAGTTGTTGCGATTTCTCCTGTTTTTTCTCTTCCTAACACCTTGCTTTTCCCTTCATTATCGACCAAATTGATTTCGGTAGGACAAGTTACTGAAGATTTGAATTGTGCTGTTATAATGTATCCTCACTTGTGTTTGTTTCAGGATATTCTCACGAAGGAGATAATTGGACGTGGTACTAAGAGAGGGGGGCTGTATTATATGGATGACTTCAGTTCCGGGAGTGCAAATCATGCTAGCGGTACATCCATCAGTAGAGAAAAACAGATTTGGCTTTGGCATCGACAGTTGGGACATCCGTCATTTGGTTATTTGAAGCGATTATTTCCTGAATTGTTTTTGAATTTGAAGGATTTAGATTTGCAATGTCAGACTTGTATATTGGCTAAGAGCCATAGAGTTCCTTTTCCTATAAGTTTGAATAAAAGTGAAGCTCCTTTCTCTTTGATACATTCAGATGTTTGGGGTCCATCTCCTATTACTGCTGTTTCGGGTTGTAGGTGGTTTGTGATATTTGTTGACGACTGTACTAGAATGACATGGCTTTTCTTGATGAAAAGTAAGAATGAGGTAGCCAAGATATTTAGAAATTTTCATACTATGTTACAGACCCAATTTAATGGACAGATCAAAGTTCTAAGAAGTGATAATGGTGGGGAGTACATGAATGAATACCTTAAGGAGTATTTTCAACAACATGGCATGATCCATGAGTCATCCTGCTCTCAAACACCTCAGCAGAATGGTGTGGCAGAGAGAAAGAATAGACATATCCTTGAGACAGCTCGAGCTCTGTTGATTGAAAGTCATGTGCCTCAGAGATTTTGGGACAATAGTGTGACTACAGCTGTCCATATTCTCAATCGGATGCCGTCTAAAGTGTTAAACTTTCAGACACCACTACAGACTTTGTCCACATATATGCCTTTACCTTCAGTCCTGACCATCCCTCCTAGGGTTTTTGGATGTGTTGCATTTGTTCATATCCCGAAGAATCAACGGACGAAACTTGATCCTTGTGCACCGCGATGTCTGTTTTTGGGGTATGGTACACACCATAAAGGATATCGTTGCTATGACCTTTCTACCCGGCGAACCTATGTGACTATGGATGTCTCGTTTGTGGAAGCTGAATCCTTTTATCCGGGTTCCCATTCTTCCTTTCAGGGGGAGATACAGATAGAAAGGGCGAATTGGTGGGAGTTTCCTGGTAGTATATTATCTGAAGGGGTGGAGAAAGTATCGTCTGAAGGGGCGGAAGAGCTTGGTAGTATATTATCTGGAGGGGTGGAGAAAGCATCGTCTGAGAGGGCGGAAGATTCATCGTCTGGGGTGTGGAGAAGACATCGTCTGAGGCGGTGGTATCGTCTGAGGGAGTAGAAGAGGTATCATCTGAGGGTGGCCAACTTCTACAGGAGCAAAATCACGAAGAACAGCTTCCCTCTTCTCCAGTACCCGACTTAACTCCTGAGAATATTCCTGAGGTAACCTCTCCTACTCCTTCTTGTATCTTTGATGAGCTTAATACTTCTGTGGGATATAAATTACCTGCTAGACACAGTATAGGTAAGCCTCCAAATAGATATTTGCCGGATGCTGAAGAGAAGATATGTACATATCCTATTGCAAATTATGTGTCAACCAAAAGGTTGTCAGGCCCAGTAAAGGCATTTATATCAAACGTGTCCGCAGTTTGTATTCCAGAAGGGGTACAGGATGCTCTGAAAGATCCCAAGTGGGTTCAAGCAATGGAGGAGGAGATGGCTGCATTGAAAAAAAATGAGACCTGGAAGCTAGTAGATTTGCCCAAGGGAAAGAAGACTGTGGGATGTAAGTGGGTCTTTTCTGTGAAGTACAAAGCAGATGGATCGATTGAGAGGTACAAGGCAAGACTAGTAGCAAAGGGGTATACGCAAGCTTACGGAATTGACTATCAAGAGACATTTTCTCCGGTTGCTAAACTTAATACTGTTCGGGTCTTGTTGTTTCTTGCAGCTAATTTAGACTGGCCACTACACCAGTATGATGTCAAGAATGCATTTCTTCACGGTAATCTCGAAGAAGAGATTTATATGGATGTTCTGCCAGGTTATTCTTCATCCTCACAGCTTGAGGCGGTGTGTAAGTTAGAGAGATCATTGTATGGTCTAAAGCAGTCTCCACGAGCATGGTTTGGCCGGTTCACTTTGGCGATGAAGAGGTATGGATATTCCCAAAGTGACTCAGATCACACATTGTTTCTAAAACGACATCAAGGGAAGGTAACAATGTTGATTATCTATGTTGATGATATGATT